GCTTTTGAGTAGATTCCCTTTTGCTGCCATGAGATGCCAGCCCCAGGGTTGGCAGCCCACCCAGGCCCCCCCGTACCTCAGGGGAACCCCTCCCAGCACCTCTTGGCAACCCCACCACCCTTAACCTCACAGGATTTTCAGATGCCCAGCCTCTGCCCCCCTGCCGTGCCTGGGAAAGGGGTGGGGACAAGCAGTTCAGCTGGAAAGGGAGGCAGCCTAGGGGCAGTGGGGAGCCACAGAAGGTTCCGGACGAAAGAAAGAAGACCCAACCAAGGCCGGGCTGCCTTTGGATGAGAATGGGGAGAGGGGCGGGCGAGGCAGGAGCCGAGGTGGCAGCCGTGTCCCTAGGAGCAGGGGTAAGGCTGGGAAGGGATAGACTGGGTGGGGTGGGAGTTAGGGTGCCCTGGAAGAGACTCCCTCCGCAAGATATCCGCCAAAGGCGTTTCCATGAGGCACTGGCTAGCGGGCACTCTGGAGGAGGACTGGGGGAGCAGCAAAGGCACGTGCCACCCCACCCACCCCGGCCACTCCCTGGAGAGGGGGGCCCTGAGGTCTCCTGGGGAATCTCACAAGGGCCAGACCTGGGGAGAGCAAATGAGATCCATGCCCCGCATGGTGGCCCTGGGAGGGCGGAGGCGAGGGGCTCTGAGGTCCGACCGCCCCGGGCCCCATCCCTCAGCAGTGTGGAGAGACGGCGCTGGACACAGAGCCAGCGCTTGATGACTTGCTGGGTGGCCAGGCCACCTCCACCCTGCCCCAGGTGCCCCCTCCCCACCACACACAAATGCAGGTGCACAGGAGGTCTCACCACAGCTTCCGGCCCCACACCCTGGGGTGCAAAGTGATGGTCGTCCTGCCCGTCAAGGCCCTCGCCCGCTGAAAACCCTGCAGAAAGGTCTAAGCTGGACTCAGCCTTCCGTCGCCTTCCGTTAGAAACCAGAGCAGCCCGGAAGTGCCATGACAGGAGCTGGCGACCTTGGCTGCAGCCCCAGGCTCAGCTCGCCACCCCAGGGCCTGGCGCAGTCCGCGGGGCCACCTGAGCCAGCAGGCAGGGGCCGCGGGGGCAGGGCAGGGCTGAACATGCCCACGGGGCCTTTCCTTGCAGGTGGCTTTCCGTGTGGACTTCGAGTTCAGCAAGTCTGTCTTCCTGCACCAGCTAGAGATCCAGCTCGCCACGGGCAGGTCAGGACCACCACCCCCAACCTCCTCCTCACCCTGCTTGCTCCCTGTGGCAGCAGGAACGGGCCCCACGCTGAGCCCCACCATGCCACCACCCCACTGTCCTCACTGCCCAACCCGAGGGGACCCAGCGTCAGTCACTGTGGGGCTGCGGCTGTCTGCCATCGCCGCCGTTCTTCATCCTCCCGGGAGAAACACTAACATCAGCCCCTTCCCCTCATGAGGCAGCCGTTCAAACCCTGTGTTAAGAGCACTGTCTGGGGACCAGCAGGTGCTGTAATGGTTACGTTGGACCCCCAGACCCAGTGACTTAAAACTCACCCCAGGCCATGTATATGTGTGCCCAAAACCCCAAGAGGAGAATGGAGAAGAGGGATGTGGAGAGGCTATCGTGAGGGAGTGATTTCTCGCTTTCTGTCTGTCTCTCCGGTGGGCACACACACCTTATAGCAAAAATATCTCTAAAAAAAAAAAAAATCAGGGCAGGGGGCCAGCAAGTGGCATGGTAGTTAAGGCACTGGATTCTCACATGGCCAACTGCAGTTCAAGTCCCAGACCTGGCAACTCGAAAATCACACCAGGCGCGTGTATGTGCATGTCCAAAACCCTGAGAGGAGAAGGGCGGGGAGGGGTTATGGCATGGCCGTCCCCCCAGGGAGTGACGCTGATGGTCTCTCTGGGAAGTGCATGTGCCCTATGGCCAAAAACAAAACAAACAAACAAAAACTCCCCTCAAGCCTTGCTGGGAGCTCCCAGGGGCAGGGCAGGCCTGGGGCTCCTATTCCTCTGTTTTGACAGCCCCCCACAGATGAGGGGGCTGCATCCTATGAGCAGGATGCAAAAAACAAGTCAAGGCAGGAGTTACTCTTTGCCTCAGCCCCCATATTACAGGTTAAAAGCCGGCTCAGAGAAGTTGAGTAAACCCCGGCAGCACACAGCGGGTACAGAGCACCAGTGGGGCTGAAGGCTAGCTGTCCTTGTGCAGAGCTTGGCCCACGCTGGTCGCCTCGCCCCGCTCAGGCAAGCTCCCCAGTCCTAGGAGACCTCCTCTTACTCCGCTGTCTGCCTGCTGTCTCCCCAGGCCACACTCGGGCGGCTTGGCCTAGGCTGTGCACACACTTCTTTTTCACAGAATTACCTCTGTGTGGGGAAGGAGGGGAGGATTCTGGACCCTTCATCAGGAGCAAAACCCGAGGCTGAGGAGTAGCTACTCTAGGCAGATCAAACACCAACACCAGCATGCTCACATGTGTGAGCTCACACACGGGTCAGTGCCCCGGGAGGCCGGGGGCCCAGCATTCACTGTTTGCTGCTGCAGCTAAGCGGCATCTGCTGCAACTCCCCCTCGCCGATGGCAGAGCTTGCTAGGTCTCTTGACATGTGCCCTTCAGTGCTCACAGCAAACAGCCCCATTCTCAGGGCCGGCAGGTGGCATGGCGGTTGAGGCGCTAGATCCCCATGTGGCCAACTGTGGTTTGAGCCCTGGGTCCGGCGATTTGCGACTCCCACCAGGCACGCGTGTTCACGCCCACTCTCCCAGGAGGAGGATGGAGGAGCAGAGACTGGCGTGGCCATCCCCCAGGGGGTGACTTCTCGCTTTCCCTCTCACAGCCTCTGTCTCTTTAAGCACATGCGCCCTATGGCAAAAACCTTCAAAAATAGAAAAAGAAAACAGCTCCGTCCTCACGGGGAATGGAGGGCATGCGCATGGCAGCCTCTGGCCTGAGCCGGGTATGTGCAGAAGGGGCCGCGGGGGTCTGTCATGTCGGACCCCCTCTTCCCAGTGCAGACAGCTCAGTGCAGGTGGCACCTGGGGCAAACACCCCATGAGTGGACAGCCGCACCGTGAAGGCCTCACTGTGCCCCCCTCCCTGGGTGGCCCTTCCCACCCGCAGCCCAGCCCATGACCCCCTGAGAGCAGCCAGCAGGTGGGGACGCTCCGCAGGAGGCCACGCAGCTGGGCAGCGGCCAGGCCAGGCTCGGGCCTCCCACCTCCCGCGTGCCCCCGGGCCAGACGCGAGAGCCGAGGGCTCCCGCCCCCCCGCCCACCCCTGCCCTTCCTCGCCCAGGAGGCACCTGGCTTCCCTCGCTGGCCTGGCCTGTGCTTGTCGGCCCTGGGCGAGCCTGCCCTGGACCCCTCGGGAGCTGCTAGGAGTGTGGGGGGAGGCGGGCCCCTTCCAATGGTGCTGTCCCCACTGCCTGCAGTGACAGTGACGAGCAGGACAGCACCAAGGGAGACAACACGGCCCTCCTACGCTTCCACCTCAAATATGAAGCCGACGTCCTCTTCACCAGGTGGGTGCTGGGGCCCCGCGAGAGGAGAGCCATGGGAGGATGGAGGCCCAGGCCCAGGCGGGCTGGAGGGCCCAGGGACCAGGCCCCGCACCAAGGGACTATGAGATGGAGCCGGGCGTGGCCCTGAGGGCCACAGAGAGAGCAGCCCCCTCCTCCGTGGGGCAGTGTTGGGGCAGAGGGAGAGGAGCCCTGGCCTGGCCTTCCCTGGGAGCTCCCAGCAGGGCAGGAGGGTGGGCAGAAGTAAGTGCAGGCGCCAGTACAGAGAATTTGAAAAGGGTCCGGGGGGAGGGGGGGTGGCTGCAGGTGGCGTGGTGGTTAAGGCACTGGATTCCCACATGGCCGACCGCAGTTCGAGTCCCGGACCTGGTAGTTTGCTTTCTCTCTGTCTCTCTCTCTCTCTGTCTCTCTCTGGCCAAATTAAAAATAAAATTAAATTAAGTAATTCTTTTTTAAAAGAAAAGAAAACGGTACTAGGACTCCCTCTTCCATCTGCCTTCTGCCCCCCCCTCGCACCCTTGTTTCTAACAGTGCCGGTGAGAACTCCCGTCCCTGCAGGGAGGCACCACCCCTGCTCCCCGGTGGTGCCGCAGGGCCCCAGGCTGATCGGGACAGCCCCTGTCCTCTGGGACTGCCAGCAGAAGTCAGGACACAGCGGCAAACAGAAAGGAAGCCCAGGCCCCCGCGGTCGCCCTTAGAGGCTGGAAGGGTCTCAGTGGACAAGGTCTCCCCTGGACAGAGACGCCAGGGCCGGGACAGCAACCGGCGGGCCCTTGGTAGCCACCCACACACCAGGGAGACATGGCTACTTTATCGCAGCACGTCTTGCTTGTTTTAAAAAGTCAGTCAGGAAAGAGGGTCCCTATGCACACACAAGGGGGAGGGCACCCCCTCGGCAGGTTCTTGTTGTGCCTTCTCCCAGCCCTCCAGCCGGCAGGGTCTCAGGTTCGAGACGTGTTTTCTGAGCGACCTGGGGCCCCAGACCCGCGGGCAGCTCCCAGCACTGCAGTTCGGTTTGCAGCAGGTATTCTGCAGAACCTTGGCATCCTTCCTATCACGGCCCTCCCGGAGGACACGGAGGACACCGCTTACCCCGGGCCAGGGCGCGGCCACAGACCACCCTCCCGCGCCCTTCCCTCTGGCCAGCACTGCCGAGCTCACGGTGTGCTGCCTGTCTCTGCAGGAGCAGCAGCCTGAGCCACTACGAGGTCAGGGCCAATAGCTCGCTGCAGAGCTACGGCGGCATCGGGCCGCCCTTTGACTGCGTCTTTAAGGTAAGGCTCAGGGGGGTCTCAGAGAGTGAAGGACAGGACCTGAGGGCCCCACGGGGGGGTGGGCAGGTGATGTGGAACCATCACTCGGGCCTGGCGTCCAGCCTCACCTGCCTCCCACTCACTGTGCGACTGCAAAGTCACGTCCCCGTTGAACAACATGGGCGCTGGGGCCCCGTGCCGGGCGGAAGGGGTGCACCAGTGAGTGTCAGACGTGACTGCACACATTCGTTTAACTATTTTCAACGCTCCGGGGCTTACTCTCCCTGGTAAAAGAAGTCCAGAGTGAGCAGCTTCACAAAGTCGTCCAGAATGAGGTCTTTGTCCCACCATCCTCAGCATGAGATGTTCAGCCTCAGATTCACCTCGCAGTCCAAGACGGCTGCAGCTCCAGCCCTTGCACTCTCATCCCAGGTAGCAGGAAGAAGGAAACGAACAAGCTCTCGGGCAGGTCCTCACATACAGTTACCACTCCTTGTACAAAACACGGTGACTGAGCCGTGAACGGGGACAGGAAAGGAGGCTTTCTGTCATGGAGGAAGATGAAGCATGAGAAGTAGAGGTCATCTAGCAGTCTCTGGAGGCCTCGGGGTGGGCCCTGGCATCCCCCAGCTGTGAGCTGCTGAGTATGGTGGCCTCTCCTGCAGCCATGTGAGACCCGGAGCCGCTGACACTGAAACCTGGCTTCAGACACGGCCCTGCGTGGCTTGCCCAGGGCAGGCTTTGTCACCTGGTCTTCCTGGTCCCAGCCCTGCTGGTCGCTACTGCTCTGGCACCCGGTGTGTCACGCTCACTCCCTCCATAACGACCAGCTCTCCTAGTCTCCTAGCTGCTGTCACCGTCCCGACAAAGTCCCCACTGCCAAGACGAGCCGCAGAGAGTGGCCCTGCTCTCCACTCACGGCGCCCTCTTCACTCCCGTCCACACAGCCCCCAGGGCTGTGGTGCTCCTTCAGTAGAAATGCTGAGGGCTTTGAGTGGGCCCGTCCCCAGGTCTGGCTGAAGGCATCACTGCCCCTGGGGCTGGCGGCCCCCATTGGCCCCTGTGGCCTCGGTCCCCTCCCCAGCTGCTGCTGGTGGACTGACAGCCTGATCCCTGCAACTGCAGGTCCAGAACCTGGGCTTGTTCCCAGTGCACGGGGTGACGATGAAGATCACCGTTCCCATCGCCACCAGGGCCGGCAACCGCCTACTGCTGCTCCGGGACTTCCTCACCGACCAGGTACCTGCCCTCTGGAGCCAGCTCAGGGGGACAGACGCACCCAGGCACAGCCGAGCTCCTGCTCCCAAGACCACACCAGTGGGGCCTTCCCTGGGAAGAGGAGGGCAGGGCGGCACGCCAGATGCAAGTCCGCCAGAGCAGGCTGTGAGGCTGTGTCCCCCACACAGGTGAACACATCCTGTAACATCTGGGGGAACGGCACCGAGTACCGGCCCACCCCGACAGAGGAGGACTTGAGCCGCGCCCCGCAGCGGGTGAGTGTCTCCTGAACCGTGCGTGGGGACAGGGATGCTTCTCTCCTGAGCCAGTAGCTTGTCAGCAAGAGCGTATTGACACTCACAAGTACCGGGCCTCAAGCCAATGGGAAGAGACACTTCCTGTCCCGTGGGTGCCACCGCCTTGCAGGAGCAGGGCAGGCAGACTGTGCGCATGCCTAAGAAGCAGGCCACAGCCTGTGCGGAGTCTCCAGGGGACTTGCACCTGGACTGCCAGAGCCAGTGGATCCATGTAAACAGAAGGGCGGGAAAGAGGCCAGAACGCATGTGGCTCCCACTGGAGACATCTGAGCATGTCAGCTGGGACCTGCTGTCCCAGAGAGAGAAGCAGCTCAGGGTTAAAACCCTCCAGCACACCTGCCCATGTCCAAGCCACCCCTCAGGGCTCCCTCTGAGCAGATACCAATTTCTCAGCATCCTTTTAGTATTCCTCACCTAAAGTTCTTAACTGTTTTTGCTTTTTTTGTTGTTACCCTTGTTTTGTTTTGTTTTTCTGTTTTTCTGTTTTTGTTTGGTTTGGTTTCTTTTTGTTTTGTTTTGTTTGTTTGCCAGAGGGCATGTGTGCTCACCAGGAATAGAGACACAGAGAGACAGAGAAAGTACCTCTAATACCTTCTCCTCTATTTCTGGAAACCATTTTTAGGGTATAGTGCAGTTTACCAATAATTTGGGCTTGGATGGGTTAGGTGGTAGACAGCAAAGCAGCAGGACAAATTACTTTAACCTAATAAATTCTAATTGTTTGAAGATCTGTCTGGATTTTCTATTGAGGTGATATCATATGTAATATCAAGGTTAGCTTTTCTATATAATCCTTCTCATTGTTTTTCTTGTCATATTACTCTGGTGAGGACCTCTAGGACAATGGTAAAGAGAACTGATAACAGGATGATCAAGTTGTCTTAGTCTCGATTTTAAAGGACTTTCCTTTTAAGTTTTTGCTAGGACATGTACACTCATTGGAGAAATAGTGAGAGGGAAAGTGAGAAATCACACACACACACACACACACACACACACACACAGGGGATGGCCACACCACAATCCCTTCTCAATTATACTCCTGGTTGGGATTTCGGGCATGCATACACATGCACTCAGCATGATTTTCAAGCCACCAGATCTGGGATTAGAACCGCTGTTGACCATCTGAGAGTCCAGCACCTTAACCATCGTGCCACCTGCTGGCCCCTTAAAGGAATTTTACATTTTTGTATTAATATATTGGGTCATCAGAAAACTCATGATGCATATTTGTATAGGAAAAAAGTCATGGCTTTTCTGATGACCCAGTAATACTTGCTATAGATAAAGACAGCTAGACAGATCCCCTTTAATCAGACTCGGAACGTCCCTGGGAGTTTTTGTCACCAACCGAGGTTGGATTTCCTAAGATATTTCCCTGCATCTACTGCAGTGTTCATCATATCATGCTTTCCTCTCCTCTCTCTGGATGGTGATAACATTATAGACCCTAATGTTGAACAGAAGCTCTTTTCCCGGAAACCTCCCGACCTGTCATTGTGCACGACTTCCAGTGGAGCATCAGATGTCCCATCCTTCATTTGCCCTCTGATCAGTGCAGCCCTGCCCCTCCTCCCTACAGGAAGGCCCCCGGCAGCCTAGCAGTGCTGCAGAGCCCTCTCCGGGGCCGTGCTCCTGCTCAGTGTGGCCCTGTCCCCGTCTTCCCTACAGGAAGACCCCGGCAGCCTAGCAGTGCAATGGAGCCCTCTCCCGGGGGCCATGCTCCTGCTCAGTGTGGCCCTGTCCCCCCCGCCTCCTTGTCCCTGTGCTCTGCCCCTCCTCCCTACAGGAAGGCCCCCGGCAGCCTAGCAGTGCTGCAGAGCCCTCTCCGGGGGCCATGCTCCCGCTCAGTGTGGTCCTGACCCCCTCCTCCCTATAGGAAGACCCCCGGCAGCTAGCAGTGCAGCGGAGCCCTCTCCGGGCGTGCTCCTGCTCACGTTCTCAGGTCACAGCTTAGGTCACAGCGGGCTGGCCGCCTCTCCGTGCTCCCCCACAGCCCAGCTGCTCACCCCAGGCCCATCTCCTCTCACAGAATCACAGCAATTCTGACGTGGTGTCCATCGACTGTAACATGAGGCTGGCCCCCAACCAGGAGATCAATTTCCACCTGCTGGGGAACCTGTGGTTGAGGTCTCTAAAAGCAGTAAGTAGAGCCCTGGGCTGGGCTGGAAGGAGAGGGGACTACTGGGAAGCCTGTCTGGAGCTGCCTGGGGCGGGCACTCCTGACGGGCCTCTGCGCAGCTCAAGTACAAGTCTCTGAAGATCACAGTCCACGCAGCCCTGCAGAGGCAGTTCCACAGCCCCTTCATCTTCCGCGAGGAGGACCCCAGCCGCCAGGTGAGCCCCGCAGCCCTGAGGACTTGGGCAAAGGGCCTCCCCTCCCTGAGAGTTGTCCTACTACCCCTGCCCGCTTGCCCCAGCAGGAGAGGCAGCCACCCTGTGGCAGGTAGTGCAGCCACAGGGAGGGGAGGGAAGGGAAGAGGGGAGGGAAGAAGGGAGACACACAGGTCTTGGGGGCAGGCAGGGGGCTGACAGCGGGCATCTGTGCTCCCCACAGCAGGACTGCAGGGTGGGGAGGGAGCCGGACTGATGCCCACCCCTCACCCGCACCCCACAGCGACTGTCCTTAGCACAGCACCCGCCTCTCCCCTCCCCACCAGTCGCACGGCAGACCTAATGGGAGCGAGGGCCTGGGCTGTGGAGCAGCACGCGGACCAAGTCGGCAAAGACCGAAGGGTGCGAGCTGCCCCAGCTCCTCCAAACAGGGCAAGGCTCTGCGAGATGCCCTCCTGGGTCAATGAGAAGAGGGGTCTTAAAGAAAACCCCAACGCATGGGCCGCGGCTGCCCGCACTGGCCGTGTCCCACAGAGCCAGCCGGGCTGTCATGACAGATGCAGAGTAGTGACCCTGAGGAGCACACCCGGCTGGGACAGGAAGCCGGCCTTAGCAAAGCACTGACACACATGGCAGTCCGGACGGCAGGGGTGGGGGGCACAGGGCAGCAGGCGCAGAGCCCAGAGGGGACCCACCGAGGAACATTTAATGTCTGTTCACTTGCCTGGCATTTGTTGGGTGTCCCTCCTGTGCCTCAGACCCCCCAGGGGACACAGAGACGGATCTGGCATAAAAGAGGACCATGCCGACATAGCGTGTGGACAAGGTGGGGCGCATAGGCGTGGGGGTGAGGCGGAGCAAGGGTGTCCAGGGAAAGCTGGTTCCGTGCTTTGAACTGAATCTGGAAAGACACGGTGGGACTTCCCAGGCATCCGAGAGAGGGCGGTGTGCTCAAGCCCTCCCCGGGGGCTGCCTGTCTCAGGAGACTCCCCTTCCCCTCCTGCCCCTAGCCCCGCCCACTGGCAGGGCAAGCAGGTGACCCGGGAGGTCACAGGCCAGGCAGGCACTCCCTGAGTTACTGTGCCCACTCCTCGCCACACCACGAGTCCACCCCACCGCCCTTTGCGGATATGGAAACAGGCTGTGAGCAGGTGCGGGGAGCTGGCTTACTGTCTGCAGAATAGTCAAGGCCAGGCAGGGCTCTGCATGGGTGGGGCGGGGGGCCCGTTCTTCCCATCACTGTGCATGCCTACTGAGCACTCCCTGTACCCCAGGCACCGTTCCGGGCTGGGGCTCCCCCAGGCCACGTTAGGTAAAGGCCCTGCTGTCCCGACTGCCCCAGTGGTGGGGACGTAGGCGGTGAGCAGTGCCCACTGCTGGTAAGGGCCACCCAGGACGCACACGCGGGAGGGGAGGGCCAGAGGTGCTGTCTCTGTAGGGATGGGAAAGCCTCTCCAGCAGAGCCCTCAGGTGGAGGGTGGGAAGACAGGAGGGCCTCGTGGGCGTGGACGGGCCAGCAAGGCAGAGGCCATGCAGCAGGCTCCAGTGTGGCATGCACGCCCAGGTTGCTGCAGGGGGAGAGCAGGAGGCAGTCGGCCAGGCCAGCGGGGCCAGACCTTGAGCCCTGCAGGCTGGAGCGAAGCCCTTGTCTTTCAGTCTGAGGGACAGGACGACACAGGAGCTGACAGCAGGGAGTGGGTGGCCTCCTGCATGCAGGGCACCCGCACCTGCGAGCCTACTGCAGGGCCAAGGCAGAGGCAGGCCAGAGCAGAGGGCACTCGGCCGCAGGAGGGGACCCTCTGCTGGGAGAGACAGGGTGACGTGTGCGCCCTGCCTGCACGGCAGCGAGGCAGTGACCTGCCATTCACTTTGACGAGGCAGGCATGGAAGGGACAGGACTGGGGTGAGGAGGAGCTCGAGGGCTGTTGGAGCTGCGGAGAGGGCTCGTGACAGCGGCTGTGGGTCTGGAACTCAGAGAGGACAGGCGAGGACAGACACGTGTGTGCTCAGAGCACGGGCAACGCCCAGGTGGCTTTACTCTCGCCTGGGCCTAGCCATGCTGGTCCACGGGGCCCTTCCACACATGTACACACACACACACACGCACGCACCCCTGGGCCCTTCCATATGTGTATACACACAACATGGGGATCTTCCCTATATGTACACACACACACGGGGCCTTTTCTATATGTGTACACATGCACACACACGGGGCCCTTCTATACGTGTACACACACACACGGGGCCCTTCCATATATGTATATACACACACACAGGGCCCTTCTACATGTGTACACAGACACACACACACACACACAGGGCCCTTCTGTGTACACACACACACACGGGGCCTTTCTATATGTGTACACACACACAGACCCCTTCTATATGTGTACACA